TATCGCGGGCTTCGCTTGCACATATTTCCACAGCCCGAGGAAATCGCCTATCGCAATAACAAACAAAACAAAATCTTACAACTGGCCCCAAACGGACCAATGCGGCGTGCCCCATCGCTCCGTCAGCTCTGCTGGGCGCTACGCTCCAGCGCCAAACAGCACCGTGTCGCCTGTCCACAAGACGTGGCACTGCCTGTGCGGTTCGCGAGAGGTTCCCAAGACGGCTTCAAAAAACCGCTAAGATTGCTGAAGTACAATAGCTCCCGAGATTGCCCATGGCCCCACCCAAGCCAACACGGCCCGACACTGTTCACCAAGAAACGGAGGCACTTCCGAGGGCCCCTAGTATTGCCTCTCGTGGCCCCGAGGCCCCCCAAGGAGGCACCAGAGGCAAACAGAGACAGCACGACCAAATTGCGGCCCCGCTGCTCGTAAAATTGCTTCGACAATATGATGGGGGATTCGCAAGCGTTCCCAGAATGGCAGGGAGCAGCTGAGATTCGCTGAAGCGTCTTCAACCGAATTTATCCCCTGCCGAGCCTTCACGATGCGAGAGGCTTACCTGAAACTTAATCAGATTGGAAGCGTGTCACGACAATCGTCATGACTGCTGGGGTGGACCAGTCGCCTTTCGGGGAGGAGCCAAAATGGCCACCACTGCCGTCACGATACATGATTCGGCCGGTTGGAGTCGAAGAAGAGCATAAACACAGATTGTCAAACGAATCAAACCATCCAAGAGTTTCGAGCGCAACTTCGCTCTGACGTCACACACACGCACACACACACACCACATACACACACATACATACACACAGAAAGACAGACAGACAGACAGACAGACAAACTAGCCGGACCAGATAGACAGACAGACAGACAGACCGACCGACCGACCCGACCCGACCCGACCCGACCCGACCCGACAGGCAGGCAGACAGACAGACAGACAGACAGACAGACGCACGCACACAGCAACACACACAATGCAACACACACACACACACTTTTAGGCGGTATTGGCCTGGCGCGCGGCGACGAGGTAGAGCAAGTCGAAACAGAATGCGCGCGGCGGCTGGGCCCTCAAACCTCACCAAGGAACCAGAACCTACCGACATCAGCCATCAGGGCGTGAACAGCGGGGGGGGGCAGAGCCCGATCGGCAGCATGACAAGGGGAGGTTTGCAACAGCACATCTGGGCATGGGTGGCAGGAAGGTGCAAGCAGACTGACGGACCTGCCCGGCCGGCGAGCGCGGGGTGGAAAGGTGAACGACGTCGAAACAAAACTAGGCAAAGAGCAGTGCCACGCCAAAGGGTGCCCGGCAATGAAAGTGCAAAACACTGGGACAAAACTGCAGGGCAAAAGCCCGCTTGAGAGAAGGGACGGCGGCGAGGCGCTGGGCCTAACGCCGCGAACGTCGCCCCTGGCCTCCGACGAAACGAGAGAGGCAGCCCGCTTGCGGGGAGAAACACAAACACACAGACATACACACACACACACTTTCACTCGGCGGCACAGAAGATCCTCAGGCGCAGACGGTTGATAACTGCCAATTGCCATCGAGCACGGTCGAAGGCACGGTGTACAAACCGCGCGCACACTGTCAAGTGCAGCGATGGGTGGTGTAAAAGAGGAACCCTCCGGCGCGCGCAAGGGGGTGGAGGGAGGGGGGGACTTTTTACAAGAAGGTTGTTTCTTAGAAGGCGCCGGCTTTACGTCTATAGACAAGGCCCGCGCCTTCTAAGAAGCAGGATTGTTTCTAAAAACCATCCCCCCTCCCCCCTCCCCTTCCGCGCGTGGCTGACGAACCGTAAATCCAAGCGAATCGTGCAGCGACCAGAAAACCGCGAAACCAACTCAACTCAAAGTAAACTGAAGTGCGAGCAGTCTGGTGCGAACTGGCGGCCGCTGAATCACCAATGAAGGTTTTAGACAATGAGGCGCAAGAAAGAACTGAACAAAAACTGTTGAACTGCACCAGCTGCCAGACCAGCCGAAGTAAACGCAGCAAAATATCACCACGATCAACCACACACACACACACACACACACGCACACACACACACACACACACATTTGCGCCAGCGGCTGGGAAGAGGCCACTGCTCCAGCGATGTGGCGCTAGCGGGGCGCAGTAAAGGCAAACTAAGCCGCGGAGCACGGAGGGAAGAGAGAGGAAGCCCGGCGCGGGCGGGGAAAGGAAACCGGGTCCACTCAAAGCATGCCCAAGCGGCGGCGTGGCGGGCGCCGGGGTGGGGAGCAAGCGGCGGCGCCAGGGCAGCAGCTGGGGGGAGGCAGCCCGGAGGCGGCGGGGCGCAGGCCCAGGGATGGAAAACACGCCGCACTGCGAGGCGGCTGAGCACAGAGATCGCACACACACACACACACACACACACACGCACGCACACGCACGCACTCTTCGGTCGTCCAACGGCAGGCGCAGCGCCAAGCCGTCCGAAGAAGTCGCTGGCGCGCGCGCGTGTCGGAAGAGAAGGCAAAGCAAGGGCCGACCCAGCCCGAGGCGCAGCAGCGGGCAGCGGCGGGCGGGGGAGGCGGCGGGCCACGGCGGGGGGGCGCCGCGGCGGGGGCGGGGAGCGAGGCTCCCCGCCAAAGGAAGGCGGGCGAGGGGCGACCGAGGCCGCGCCCATCAACGGCGGCAGGCGGAGAGCGGCGAGGCAAAAAGAGCCGCGCCACAGTCCGGCGGGCGCGGGGCGACAGCGCCGCGCCCAAAGGGGGGGCGGGCGGAGCGAGGGCGGCAGGCAGCAACCGGCGGCAGAAGGGCGGGAGGCGAGGGCGCCAGCTGAGAGCAGGCGGCCAGCAGGCCAATCCCGACCTGAGGGCCAAAGGGCCAGAATTACGCTACCGAGGAACCCCACATACTTAATTTAAGTCTTGCGCGTTTGCTTATCATTACCTACCATATACGCGCAATCCTGCGTTCTGAACTTTCGTCGCGAACGTTTCCACATGTTGCCATCCATCACACCATTACTTGAACCTTCTCCCTCTGCCCCGCCTTCTATCCTCCATCGGGGAGAGGTTCGAAGCGGTCACCGAGGGCCGCTTCCTGGGGCGGCAACAAACAACGAAGTATCGCAAAACGATCTGCCACATCGCGGATAGTCTGGGGGCCCACTGTGGACGTCGGTGCAAATCAAACCCATCGCGCAAACGCTCTACGGAGCCTCTAGAATGAACATTTCTCCTTCCCCTCACACTGCGTTATCCCGCACCCCTGCCCCCCTTTCTCACCTTGGTCGGCCTACTTTCTTAACTTATGATCACGCAACTTCCACGTCGGCCCCCGCGTCTCTTCGACGGAGAGTCTCCGAGCTGCGGCACGCTGCACTGAAGAGTGGCACGCTGTGATGACGGGGGTTCTGGGTCAGCGCCAGCGCTGGCGGTCTCGCGCGCTCGCCGAACCATCGCCGGCGGCCCGCCGCGGCCCCCTCCCCGCGTCCTCCGGCTGATCCGAAAGAGCCTCGGAAGGGAACCCGCCCGACGCAGGGTTCCGCGGGTACGCCACCAGGCACTGCCCCATGCCGTCGCCGTGCATCTCGGAGTACTTCGCGTAGAGCGCATCCGGCCACCATTTGTTAAGCTGGCGGCGGTACGCATTCAAAGCGGACTGCACCACTCCGCTGGCGCATCTGCGAGAGGTCTCCACGCTGACCTCGCCGCCCATCTGAACCATTGCAGTCTTCATCGCCACACACGGAAGTGGTAGCGCGTCCATGGCGATTTTGGGAGGCATGGCTGCCGCGCGGAGGTAGGGCATCTCTGAAGTAGGATTACAGGAGCGCCTGCGTCAGAGCACAGGTGCGCCGAGCTGGCTTGAGCCAAAGTGTTTACAGTTCTGGATAAGACACGAGTTCTCGCCCGCGCACCACGCACCCCCACCCCACGGGCAGCTCTCGAGGCTGTGTTTCATGGTGCGGCGCCCCCACCCCCAACGCACCCCCATGTGGTGTCGAGGAAGTGCCACGTCTGCCACGCCCTGCGCGCCTGCAGCGGATAGGGAGAACACCCCCAGCGCATCCCTTGTGGTGTCGGGGAAGTGCCAAGACTGCCACGCCCTGCGCGCCTGCAACGGATAAGGGAGACCACCCCCAGCGCACCCCCTGTGGTGTCGAGGAAGTGCCACGTCTGCCACGCCCTGCGCGCCTGCAACGGATAGGGGAGACCACCCCCAACGCACCCCCTGTGGTGTCGAGGAAATTCAACACCTGCCACCCCCTGCGAGCCTGCAGCGGATAGGGAAAGGAGACGAGGTACAGAGACTGGCGCACCAGTGGGGCAAAACCGCCACATAAGCACGCCAGGAGCCGAACTCCGAGCAAAAGAACGGCGTGGCGCAGGTAGGCCGAAGCCGCCGTGCGGGCCGGCGCGACCTGGGGCCAGCGCCGGGCTGCGCAGGGCACAAGAGGGGGGGGGAGCAAGCCGGCCCGTCAGCGGAAGGACAGGGCCACGCCACGCCCAGCCCATCCCCCCGCGGCTGCAGTGGGGCAGGACGACCACGCAGGAAAAAGGGCGGGAGCGAGAGTGCCCGGGGCCGTGGGGGGGAGGTGCGGCTGCGCCGTCTGAGGCGCGCGTGCGGGGCGGGTGCAGCGATGACGCTTCCAAAAAAGAGAGCGCCGCTCGGGAGGAGCGACCATGGCGTGGCAGCCAGGCGATCACCGCTGAACCGCTGAGGGTCCACCCAGGGGATCAGCCGTGGCGAGGAGTGGTGCAGCGCCCAGCGGCAGGGCAACGGATCTCTCTCTCTCTCTCTCTCTCTCTCACGCACACGCACACGCACACATAACGCCACAAAGGCGAGCACCGATTTCTGAGAATGGTAGCATTCCAGAGGGCTTCACATTCTCATCCTCGGATGCATGAGGAGCGCTAGAAAATTTACAGTAATTTGTTACCACCCGCTGTTGCCCACGAAGAACAGAAAGTCCACACAATGCTGCTGAGCATGCGCTATGCCAACATCTCATCAATGAGACTATCTTTTCTCCCGCGCTGCACTCGCTCACTCTACCTGACCTGCGACACCATAATACTGGAATTCAAGTGTATCCGAGCCCACCATTTCATGGACACTGATGGGACGAGCCTCCAAGAATTGACGTGACAGCTGAGAAAAACGAAATGCGGCGCTACTGTCGCCCCAAGCTGTCCGCCACCGTGCCCCCGGCACAGAAACATGTGTCATCAAGTCACGTACAGCCCTCGGCGAATGAAACGAAAAGCTGCAGCCGCTCTCGGGACTTGCCGCGCGGCTGTTCAGAGGCCTGAACGCGGTCGGGACCCAAGATCTCCGACATGCGACAAAATGACCATGGGCCCTGGGCCCGTCTTGAGCACGACAAACGCAAGCAGGAAATTAGGTGCAGAAAGCAGCCGGCAAAACCAGGCGGGCGGGTCGGGCGGGGCTTGTCCGGCGGGCAGGCCTGGAAGTCCGGGTCGTGCGGGCGGGTCGCTGAAGCGTCAGTCCTGCATGAGTCGCGAAGAAGTCTCTCGTGATAGCGCGATTCCCAAGTAAATCGCGAGGAGAGGACGTCAGCAGCGAGAGCGTGATTCCTGAGTGTCGGGGGCGCGGCGTTTCAATACATTGCGCGAAGTCCCAGAAGAGAGCGCGATTCCTGGATACATTGTAAGGACGTCCCGCGCGACAACGCGAACTTGAAAAAATTGTGCAGTATCAGGCGGGAACCGTTGTTGTGGTAGTCTGTTGTGGTAGTCTGGGAGCCAACAGCGCACTCTGAGTCGTACAATTTTCCCTTGAAAAAAAAAGCTTGGTGTGAGCCCCGGGAAGATCACTTCAGTTGAAAAACGCAATAAGCACCTCGCAGGGAGATCAGCGATGATTACTCATAAGAAGTGACGATTCAACAAATCGTAATTGTCAGCACCACCAATATCATCACTGCCATCGTCATCGTTATCGTCAGCATCATCGTGATCCTCAACACCATCCTCATCATCAAAATCATCATCATCATCATCCGCATCAACAACAGCATTGTTCGTGCCATCATCATCATAATCGTCGTCATCAGCATCATCATTGTCACCATTAGCATTGTCAGCATCATCATCAGTTGCATCACCATCATCACCACCATCCTCATCATCATCATCATCATAAGCATCATCACCATCATCAGCATCATCAGCATCATCATCGTGGCGCTTACCCTGATAAGGTGACACGTTTCGAGTGTTTCGGGCCAGGCGGGTCCTGCTGGACAGGGCGGTACCAGGACAGAGCTCGGTCAGAAAAGAAAGGAGAAAGAGGAGGCACGAGCAAGAGACACTGACAGATGACTCCACAAGACACCACACCACAGACAAATGAGGAGAGAGAAGAGACCCGTAAAGAAGGGAGGCAGCGGGCGGGCTCAGAAGAAAAGACTTGAGCCGTAGCGGTTGCAAAACAAACGCGCGGCCCTCTCACGCCTTGCGAAAACTGTTCAAGGATTGCCTGTTGCGCGTCATTGGCCAGGCGGATCCAAGAGGACAGTGCGGCACCCGGGCTGAGCTCGGCCAGAAAAGAAGGATGAGGGACGAGCGAGCGACGCAGGCACGCCGCAGCACCACAAGACACCACACACCACACACACGAACGAGGAGGGGAGAGGAGAGACCCAGCATCACCCCAAATGGGCTCCTGGCTTCAGCCGCATTAACTAGTTCATGTGTTGCAGATCTGTCGAAGGCATCAGAGGCGGCTAGAATCGACACATCGTTCCAAAACCCGGGCGAAACTGGTGCAAAACCGACGAGGGCACGGCTCAGCAACACGCGTCCACAATTCCCCCGAACTCTGATCGACGCCTGTCAGGACGGTGCGAGGTTTGCCAACGGCTGCACACACACACACATCGATCGTGACAGCGAGAGGGCAATTGCAGAGACAAGCTTTGAGCCCAGATTTGGACTCGCGTCTTTTTGCGCCACCGGGCCCCGAAACTACAATAGTCGGCGGCACAATTATGGCCATCGGCCCTGCTGGCCAAACGAACCAAGGGAAGGACTATCCAAATCCAGCTGGGCCCAGGGTTCTCGATTGCCACAAGGGCACGAGCTCGGAGGCAGGCCCGAACGGCCCGAAGACAAAACTGAAGCTGGGCGTTGCCCCGCTCTCACCGATCGCAGGCCGAGGGCCCAGGTTCGGAAGCCCCCTAACGCGCAAAGCACTACAAAGGCGACAACAGCTGGAGCCCAGGGGGCCGTGGCGGTCTTGGGACCACGCGCAGCAGGGAGTGCCCATCCACGCAGCTACTGCCACGTTGCAAGTGATCCAGACTAGAAACGTCGTTTGAATCACGGGTCGGTTTCAACCGAAACAGGAGTGACTGACACCGTCGACTGAGACAGCTCCGAAACCTCGGGCTAGCACGGCCTTGGGCGCCCCAGCCTCGCCAGTGAAAAACTCAAGGAAAACTTGTTTTCGCAAAACAAAGAGGACCGGAAGGCCCGCCGCAAAGCGCGGCGCCGCCAGGCCCGCGCCTCCCCGTCGCTCAGGCGGGGCTCGGCGCCGGGCATGGCGCCGGCGAGAGCGGCGCGCCAATCTCGACGATGCCGGCCAGCCGCTCGGCCATCTGGCGCCCGTAATCCACGGCGGCTACTGGCGCCACGTGGAGCTCCGCCAGGGTCCGCGCCTCCTTTCCGCACCGCTTCAGCATGGCGTCGCTGCGCCACCTGCCGCGAGCCTTGACCTCCAGCGAGCTCCTCTTCTTGACCAGCAGGTTGCGCGAGGCGCCGCCGTGCCGCAGGCTGTGCGCGGCGAGGCCAGTGGCCGCCGGACCCAAGCCCTCGGCCGCCCCCTGGAGCTCCACCGCGACATCTGGCGCGCTGCGCCTCTGCATCAGCTCGAGCGGGCACCCGCGGAGGAAGCCGAGGTCGTCGAGGATGACGCACTCACCCCACGCGAAGGCCCCAGTGGACAGAGCCCGTCGCTGCCACGAGCGGCGCCAGCTGCGTCGCGTCAGAGAGTCGCACTCGCCCATCCCGAGGTACCCGCGAATTGCCAGCAGCGCCGCCAGCGCCTGCTCGATCAGGCCGCGCGCGAGGAGGCGACCGACCATGGCCAGGGCGCCACCCCGGCCCTGCTCGCCACGGCACAGGAGGGGCGCGGAAGGCCCCGCTGCCCGCAGCGCCCGACCTCCAGGATGTAGAACTTCACGGCTGCCAAGGTCTTGCCGGCAAAGCCCCCCGCCATCCCCGCGAAGGACAGACGCAGAGGGCCAGCGCGTCGCCCAGGCCAGAAATGTTCGCCCACTTCAGTTTCGACTCCACGGCACAGACCAAGAACGCGCGCGCCTTCTCGAAGTAGCCGCCCCGGGTCGCGCCGGCGATGGAGCGGCCCTCGAGGGGCGCCAGCTGGCGCGAGCCCGAGAGGATCTCCGAACTGGTCGATGACGTCCGGCACTAGGTCCTCCTCGCGATCACAGCCGCCGCCGAGGAGGCCGCCAACCCCGCCATCCAGCCCCCTTGGGTCGCCACCCAGGCACGCGCCAAGCACGAGGCTGAGCGGCCCGAAAAACGGGAAGCCCGGGACGTTTGGAGGTGGGCGGACAGGGTCGGCAGCGCGGTGCCGCGGGCTAGAGTCCAGAAGCAGCGAATGCTCGTCTTCCAAGTGGCAGCGGCCTTTGGACGGGCCCCCCGCGGGATTCCTTTCGGGCGGGGCGCAGCGAAGATTCGCCTAGGGACGACAGGCGAAGGCAAGGGCGGCAGTCTCGCGAAGAATGCCCCGGGAATTAATGGCCGCTGAGCGACCCCTGCCAACGGCCAGGGCAGGCCCCGCGCCATCGACCAGGGAGAGGGAGCGGCGACTGAACGCCGAAGAACGCTCGAAAGGGCGAGCCCTTCGAGTCGAAGAACGGTCGCGGGCCCCCGCCAAGGAAAGGACTCCGAAATGCGCCGGGCCCCTGGGTCCGGGAATCCGGCAGGTGTCGGCAGCGACGACGTCCGACCAGTCCTGGTCAAGGGCGCGGGCCCTCGCGCGCGCAGCGCCGACCCTCCGCCGCGCGCGCGTAGCGACCGACCAGCCCGGGGTCGGCAATGCGCACGAAGACCCCGCAGCCCCACGGGGGAGGATCGATGGCGGCCACGCTGCCGAACAGCCCCGAGTCAGAGTGCGCCGCGAAAAGTGGGAGGAGGTCCTGGACGAACTCCACCTGCTGCACGCACGTCTCAATGAAGGAGTAGAGCGAGCTCAGGATGGAGAAAGACGACCGCCGCGACTGCATGAGCCAAGTCGCGCGACACAAGATCACGTCCAAGACTACGCCCGAAAAGGGGCCGCGGGCCAACAAACCCCGATGGCCAGGCGGAGGCGCCGCGCGCTGCGAGTCCATCGAAGTAGAGGCCCACGAAGTCGGCACGGCCCGCGGCATCCGAGGTGTTCCTCGCGGACCAAGAGGCACTGGTCGACCAGGCCTACGACCGCGCACTGGCTGGCTGCTGCGACCCGATGCCGCGGGGCCCCCTGCACCACGAAGTCGCCGACGCAGCCAGCCGCGCCAAACCGGCGCGAGGGCCCCAGCGGGAAGGCCCCCGCGCCGCCCTTGACCAGGACGCCCGCGCCGAGCCCCCCACGAGACAACCCCTCCTCGGTGACTACCTGGCAGAAATGGAACGCCCAGCTAAAACCTATCGGCAGCACCGCCAGCACTGGCGCGAGCAGAGCAGCCTCCGCAGGCCGCGCCGCGAACCCCCAGACGCTCGACAGCTCCAGCGCGGACGGGGGGAAGTCGGAAATAAATCCACCACTCGGGCGGGGCCGAGATGGCGTAGAAGGTGCCCTGAATGCCCCCGACCGAATAACACGCCACGTCGCACTCACCGGTCTCCATCTTCGCGAAGGCCGACGCGGATTGGGGGCGGGTAGAAGGAGGCGGCTCGAAGCGCCGGGCGCGCGTCGAAAACGATGCGCTGCTGGCCCAACTTCTTCCGATTGAAAAACAGCCCCTCCGTCGACCCCGCCGTCGCTGGCACGAGGCGGGCCACCCCGCGATCCAGCATCCCCTGAACGAAATCGGCGAAGACGAAGCTGAAGAACTCCTGCAGCGCGAGGGCGGGCTGTAAGTCGCAGTTGGCCACGCCGACCTCGGCAGCCGAGGCGGCGCCTCCAGGGCCGCGCCGATAACGCGTCGCGATGCCCGCGC